GAGTCTTATTAATATTTATGAATAATTAACAAGGACCCAGTTAGATAGGTGTGATCATCAGTCAGTTATTGTATTGAAAGCGTAATAATAAGAATAACAATCAGAAACAAATAATAATAATAATAATAATATTTTTATTAGTATGTATAACATCAGAGTGTATAATTTTTCAGCTCCGAAGAAGACAAAATAATCAGACTTTATTATTATTATTGTAGTTGTTATTTTTATTATTATTATTTTAATCAGTGTATTTGTATATGCTAGTAAAAGACCATAAATTACTGCATATGTATATAAGCCGCTTTTTTAATGTTTTGTTATTTAACACTGAGTAAAAACTGTTCTTTTTGCCAATGAACACAGATTTTTGCTTAAATTTTAAATTATTATTAAATATATCTTCCACTGATTGTACATATTCATTCATTTCATTTTCTTCATTCATTTACTCATTCGTTCGTTCATTCGTTCATTCGTTCGTTCCTTCGTTTGTTCAATCGTTCATGTTTGCGTCAAAGTGTTCTCTACATAACTCTGAATGAATGAACGAACGAACGAACAAATGAATGAACAAACGAACGAACGAACGAATGAATGAACGAACGAACGATTGAACAAATAGATAAATAAATGAACGAATGATTCAATGAATGGACGGTTGAGAGATAAGACAGAACGAAAATAAATTAAATAGAATAAAAACCTTTCCTCCACCAATAAAACGCGTCAATGTTATTATAATTATTATTATTTGTTTTGGTTGATAAAATAATGAAAATAATATTGCGTATAATATACTTTTACTTCTGTTTCTATTATTATGATTATTATTATTATGAATCATCATCAAGATTTATGATTAATTTCTTATTCATAACCTATCTTAATATCGTCTGCTTTTCTCGATCCCTTGCCAATTGTTAGTCAAATTTTTATTTCATTTTATTCTGAAATATAATTATTAACTTATACATGATTCATAATAATATATACATATTCATTGATTCATAATAATATATACAAATTCAATTAGTCGTAATAATATATACATATTCATTGATTCATAATAATGTATACATATTCATATAATATGAATATCTAAAAATGCGTGTATTATTATAAATATGTATATATTTCCAATTATATTTTAGTTATTATATTTATTATTATTTAAACAAGCTTGCTCTTCAATGTTTTGTTCACTACTGCCTCAACTCAAAAATAGACTATTGCAATTCTATATTACGGCCTTAATAGGACCACGTTAAGCGAATCCTTTTCACCCTTCACTACACGGGCTTCCGATTTATCAGGGAGCTACTTACAAGATATATTTAACGGTTTTTAAAAGTATTTAGGGAGTCGCCTCTGAATATTTAACTGCTGGAGTCACTTCTAGAACAATGCCACTCCTGAGTCTATCATTGCGCTCTGACAATTCAGGTTTACTGTTTGTACCTGACACAAACATGGCTCTTGGTCGAAGGAATTTCTCCTTAATGGGTCTTGCTGTCTGGAATGGTGTGCCTTGGGACCTTCGTGATCCCGCGTGGTCTGTTATTCAATTTTGGCTGAATCACCATTTTTTGTCCAAGCTTGCCCGTGCTAATGTCTTTTTCTCTCCATTCACTGCCTTGCTTTAATAAAGCGCTACGTAATTTACTGCAATAATCGTTAGCACCTCTGAGATCTTTTTAAAAGTCGCTTACAAACACTCCAATAATAATAAAATTAATAAAAATAATAATAATAATGATACCAATGTAAGTAGTTTGATAGGCAGAGGTGTGGTGGCTAGAAATGTTACAAACCAAAAATAGCATGAAATTGTTATACTGAGTGAATTTTTAGAAACTATTCCCAAACAGATTTCTACAAAAACGAGACATTTATACTGTACCCTTCTCCAATGGATAATTTGTATGAAAATTTCAGTTACTACTCCACGAAATTTGAATGCGAGTTGGAAAATTGGCAGCCCAAAAAAAACTTTTCGACGAAAAAAATCCCGGCTACGTTCAAGCTGACGGGCAGCCATGTTAACAACAACTGCCGACGACTAAAGCAGTTGCGCATCTATCTACTTGTAGTTGGTTATTAGTCATTTTACTTGTCTTTCATCTCCTAGTTGTTGTTTTTTTTTGTTTTTTTTTTCATTTCTTTGTCGGTTGGTTAATTTAATGTCTATTTTATTTTATTTTTTCAAAAACAAATTGCAAATCATAAAACAAATTTTCGTTTCAAAACTTTTCATTTGAAAAAAAGAGAAATCGTTAGGTTTCAGTCCTTTACAACGCCCTGGTTACTCTAACGACCTGGTCTGCAATGAAGTCATTGTGACATGCCAAGTGACTTTCCTGCGAGAGTTAAAATTACACGGTGCCTGGGTAGCCAGTCTCACGATATTCCACGCCTCACTTGAAACGCCGTTTATGTCATCTTGTTCTGGTTTAAAAAAGAAGGCTGTCTGTGGATCTTCTATAGTTGTTGGAATGCTTAAAGGCTATGATCCTCTTTATTGTTGCTTTTCCGTAAAAAGCACAAAACTATTGTTAAACTACACCATGTCTTTGAATCTGCCCTTTAGAAGTTTGTTACTTCGATGTTCTTTTTTGTTCGTTCATTTGTTCATGTGTTTGTTCGTTCGTTCGTTCGTTCGTTCGTTCGTTCATCAACGTATTTTTTTGCTTTTCTGTAAAATTCTTGGCTGAACAATAACAACTTCAACATTAAATATTTACACTGTTCACAGATTTTGATGAATTTCAACTATGGAAACTCATTTGTACGCTCATTCAAACACGCAACACACCAGACACACATAATCACCAGCAGACACACATAATCACCAGCAGACACACATAGTCACCAGACATACACACACACACACACACACACACACACACACACACATCTCACCATTCTGAAATGAAAAACAGTTGAAAAACAAGCAAACATTTCGATAATGCAAGTGCAAAGATGCGTGAACGACAAAACAACCTTCAAATGTGTATTGGATGACTACCCAATCAAAAGCATCAAGTTTGGCTGCACGATCGTCAACAAAACTACAGTCATCAGTGGAGGGGCTGACACATTTTACAAAGCTAAAAATGACGAAATTTCATTTAAAATAGCCGGAGAGTACAGGTGTTCGTGTCAGATTGTTGTCGTCAGCTGTCTGCCAAATTCTCTTGACAATAAAACATGGGAAGGAGTCATCGAGGTGGCTAACTGTGGTGAGATCTCGACCACTTTAATTTTTTATGGGATTTTAAAACTTCCAACTCAGTTTTACATTTTTCTTTTGACCACAGAATCCAAGCGAAGTTTGTTTTTGGATTTTTATTTTCCAGAGTTTTAAATCATCCATCCACCGTTGATAATTTAGTTTTTTAGTTTGCGATCATTTCATAAAATGGCAAAAGTTCCGTGCGAGTTTAGTAAAAAAAATTATAATTTAGCGGTGCGGTGGCTTTCCGGCACTGTTTGCTGCCTTTGCAATGGTCTGATTGAGATGTAAGAGACCCCAGCCTATCTCATGCTGTGTGTTTGTGTGTGCGCGTGTGTGCGTGTCGTTGATAACTCTGATGATTAAGAAAAATATTGGTGATGGTGACAAAATGAAGACATCTTCACTCACTCACTCACTCACTCACTCACTCACTCACTCACTCACTCACTCACTCACTCACTCACTCACTCACTCACTCACTCACTCACTCACTCACTCACTCACTCACTCACTCACTCACTCACTCACTCACTCACTCACTCACTCACTCACTCACTCACTCACTCACTCACTCACTCACTCACTCACTCACTCACTCACTCACTCACTCACTCCCTCTCTCACTCACTCACTCACTCACTCACTCACTCACTCACTCACTCACTCACTCACTCACTCACTCCCTCTCTCACTCACTCACTCACTCACTCACTCACTCACTCACTCCCTCTCTCACTCACTCACTCACTCACTCACTCACTCCCTCACCCACTCACTCACCCACTCACTCACTCCTAACACTTGCCAGGAGAGAAGGTGGAATTTGAGACACCGAAAAGACAAACGAAATACCTAGGCCCAGTTTTGGGATTTTCGCTGGCGAACATCTGTCTGATCAGCTGCGTTGTCGGCATGGTTTTGTATAAAAAGATGAAAAACCGGAAAAGGCGAGGTGATGACGATGACGTCATCGTCATAATTCTAACAATAATAATATAATAAGATAATTATTATATTTAGGTGATTTTTTTTCGACTATTAAAGATTATATTATTATTTTATAGTTTTATTTGGAATTATTATCAACATGATCATCATCGTCGTTGTCGTCGTCGTCGTCATCATCACAATCATCCCATGCGCCATCAGGGCAGAAAATAAGAATCAAGCTAGCCAAAATTTATCTTACGGAACGCGCAAAATATCTGAGAAGTAATTCATTCTTTCTCCACTATCCCGTCCTCTCCCTCTTCATTTATCTCTCTCTCTCTCTCTCTCTTTCTTTCTCTCTCTTTCCTCTTTCGTTCGTTTCTTTTATCTGTCTTTTTGTTATTATTATTATTAACTATTATTAATATTTATTATAGGTATGTCGCATTCAGCTCTTCCTTATTCCCAAAAACGGAGCCTTTCATCGAAACTCTCAATTACTTCTTGGACATATAACATTTCAGAAATTAGTAGTGCGTATGTGTGTGTGTGTGTGTGTGTGTGCGATTGTGTGTGTGGGTTTGTTTGGATTTTTTAATGGTTTTCTCTCTCTCTCTCTCTCTCTCTCTCTCTCTCTCTCTCTTTCTCTGGCTCACTCTCTCTTATTTCGCTATCTTCTCTCTCTCTCTCTCTATTTTCTCTTTTTCTCCATTCGTATCTTTATTTATTTTTATAACTATTATTTTGTAAATGATAATTTCGGTTAGGAGGGATAAGTGAATATAGGTTGTATATATATATATATATATATATATATATATATATATATGTT